CAACACCGCATTGTCGAAAATATTTTAGTTGGCTAGAGAATGTCCGAATATGCCCTCCATTAAATTTTCAAAGTGATCCGTTGTCTGCTTCACCAGAAACGTCTAATGTGCCATCCACCGTGAATCAGCCTGTATATGCAGTCCATTTAGCCTCTCTCTCCAGAAAAAATGTGGAGAGGAGGTAGATGTAGAAGGATCTCCATGACCGCTGACGGTGTGGTACTGATGGCACCAGTGATAGCCAGACAAGCCTGTGTCTGTAAGCAAGAGAGCGTCGCTTATATAGGCAGCATGCCTCAGTTAATAAATTTCTATTCGAAAAACAACGTAGTTCAATAGAAATCTTACCTGCAGAAATTTGAAATGGACCATCGTCAAATGCGTGACGACCATCGTGACGGTGGCCAAAACCGGCAAACCTATGGCGATAATGAGAGATTTGTTGCCGAGAAGAAGCGGGAATTTGTTCTTCGTCACCTTCTGGTATAATTTCTCGAAGGCCACCAAGTTGGTCAGAACTCTGGCTTGTTTCTTCGCCTCGTACCACGCTATCGGGTTGATCACTATGGGCACCAAATAAACCGTGAAGAGGTAGTCAATGACAGCTTCTTCGAAGCGGCCTTCGGCAGAACGAACCATTTCCACCTTGTCCCATCTGATGTAGCAAATGTAGGCGAAGATGACGACGAATACAGCGATGGAGTAAATCAGAAGTTGGGGTGTGGTCTACAAAATGAGACACTTCAGTTCCATTTATGGTACAATGGTACAATAATTCTAACTGTTTTTCTCCTTTGCCACTGAAATATTACTTTCATACCTAAAAGAGAAAGAAAAAAATAAAATTCCACGCCTCACCTGGAAAACGCAGCCAGTATTTCCTATAGGAAAAATTCCTACCGCCTTCAGAAGGTAAACCATCGGTTTGATGGAGTTGAAGAAGACGCTGTCAAGTTCTCTTGAATCGTGGAAGGCCCTGACCGGGCCTCCAGGCCCGCTTGGATCGTAGGGAGCCACCTTGATGACGGGGTTCGGATTTTTCCCAGACTTCTGGTAGAACGGTTGGGTTCCTTCCAAGTAGACGCTTCTTCTTCTTGAGTTGTTCCTGGGTATTCCTTCGATCAGGCTGATGTTGAAGTTGTCACTGTTCATGATCATCGATAGTCTTCAGCCGGACGAATAGCAGATTTGTTTTTTTACCAGCCCAGAGGTAATACGTCTTCTTTTGGAATAACGATTCTGCTCCGTTATGACATGAATAAACTTTCACATTATATTTGACGGAACTTTTTCTGTGTTTCTTCGAGATGGTCCGGACAAATTTGAAATATAGTCTCACTTTTCGTGACCTACACCTTTACTGTGTCACCAATTATACGTTCCTGAAAGCGGTCAAGTTTCCAGAAAATTACAGTTTTTTCCAGAAGTGTAAATAAAGGTATCGATCTCCGTAATTTATGATTAATTGCCCAATTCCAATACAAACGTTCGTACATTGCATGGTCGACCTTGAGTTCAGGTTTTCTCCATTATGATAGGCGTTAAAACCAAGGATATCTACTGCAGCTAACAAAATTATTCAGAAAAGGTACCTATAATTCAAAATTTTCAAGCATTTTACGAATGAATATTCATTTTCAAATGATTTGACAGGTAGAAGCAAAGAAAGATACGACAGCGTGAAAAAATTATCAAGGAAATATATAATAAAGACTATCTTTTGAACATAATATAGAAGCCAATTAGGAAACGAGATTAAGAAAATGGTTTCGTAAATTTTCGACTTTCCATTACTCAGAATTTATAGTTCTTCAATATGAATCTATCACTAGAGCTATTACTAGGCAAGAAAATGCTGTTTTAAAGAACTGATTCCCCGCCCAACACAAACACCGCCCTCACTTATGAACAAACTTGTATTTAAATTGAAAAGAAGTCAAATAACTGAATTATTTGAATAGTTGTTTCTACACGTGACATCTATGTTCGAAAAGAGTAAACGTCGATAATTTCAGGTCCTGACTGATAGATGACGCTTACTTCGTTTGTCAGAAATCATGAAATTACTAAAAAAATAATTTCCTGTATTGAAAGGCAACAAATATTTTTTATACACATACCAAACTTTATTTAACGATGAAAAAATGCTTGTATTAGCCTGAAGGCGATACGCGTTTTTGTTGCTAAAAGTAGCCGCAGATAACCCACCATTGTAATCTGTGACCTCCAGAAACGTGACATTTACTTTTCCCCGTTGTATTTATTTATCATGAACAATCATCGAAGTACGTTAATGTGTAGGAAGAACAAATCGAATTGTCTCGCGACAGTAAAAGTAAAGGACAGATACATTACAACTGTCCTAGAAACTGAACATCCTTCCTAATTAAAAAGAGTATTTACTATTAGGCAACCTTCAAGTCAGTAATAATCATAGGCGTCCAGATCAAATGTTTTTATAGTGATAAAACGATTTTTGCAATATTCTATCGACTAATTTCGATATCACTAATCCTGTAGGGGGCGCTACCAACAATTTCAGAGCTTGTATTTGAGAAAGAGGCGTCAGATGTCGTCATCGGCGTTGACTCAGTTTTCGTGTTCGTGGATACCGAGTGGTAACATAACCTTGTAATGAGCTTGTTGTTTTTCGTTTAATTTCATTACGATGAAGAAAAATGCGTGCATCGTATCAGAATGCGATTCTACGGATGCAACAAAACCTCCCCTAACGTTCCACCTGATCCCGAAGGATGATGTGCTGCGAAAAAAGTGGTTGAAAGCGATAAACAGAACTGAAGATGAAGTCAACAAACGGAGCAAAGTGTGCTCAGAACATTTCAAAAACTCGGATTATTCAGTTACTAGGCTGAACTACACGACAGGCAATAAGAATACTCCCACAGGAAGTAAGAGCACCTGTATGATTTGGTTTGAATAATTTTTTTGATTTTTTACTGATCACCCTGTACATTCCAGGCGAATTCAAAGTGTTGAAAAACGAGGCGGTGCCATCCTTGAACTTACCACCGAAATCGACATTCAAAATCAAAATCAGCAAAAAAGATAATAATAGTAAGGAGATAAAAGTCGAAGAGGTTAAAGTTAAAGAAGAGAAGGATAAAGAAAAGGAGAAGGTAATAACAAGTGTCTTTTGTTTGTATCCTACTATACGAGAGGTACCAAAACTTTCGAAGTTAACTGTCGTGTTGAGGGTTGCAGGAACGATGCGTATTTCATTATTTATATTCCAGTTTTCTCCCCTCCACATACGTCATTTTAATGACGCATCGTCAATTGATAAAACGTTTTCCAGTCCCATTGTGAATATCACAAACATGTAATTATTATTTATACGAGGGCTACACGAATGTCAGTAAACACGTTCCTGTCAGTTGAAATGTTTTCATAATAGATATGTCGTGCTCTATTCAAACTTCCCGCCAACATTTTGTCCCCGCCCACTGCGTGAGGTTTTTGACATAATCCAAATAAAAATGGATGCCGAGTGATGCAAAAGTCGGGGAGTCAGTGATTTTTGTGAAAATTTCGTGAAACTTCGAAAGTAAGGTTTCAATAGTTCGTTGGAAATAGTGAAAGGTGTCCCTATATGTGATTACTGTTGCGAGGAATTCGATAGTTTGTCATATTTTTTTGATAATATCAAAACTTCTTAGATGTCAAAAGTAGAGTTACATTTACCGCCATTACTGTATATTTCCGTCACGATTTTCAAAAAATACAATATAACTTCCCTGCAAACATTCGATTCTTTATTATATTTCTGTAACCATTAACTTGTCTTATTGAAGCTCAAATCTCACGCTGAGGCCCTTCCTATTTTCTAGCCTCACTTGGAATCTGTGGCATTATTTTTTGGTACCACCTTGTTTTATTGATGAAATCTATTGTTTTGAATGAACCAACCATGTAACATTTAGGTTATCTAGTAAAGTTATATGTTTGTGGGATGATTTTTATTAGTTGGTGAATGTTTCTGTATTATTTTAGTCCAGAATGCCTAAGAAGCACCACATTGAGTTGAGTCCTCCAAGGGCAAGGACCCATGATAAGTAGCAATTTTAGTACAGAAACTAGGCTTCAAAAATCTGATGGTACCTGGTATAATTATTTGAATAGTTTCCGCAAGTGTTCTGTAAGAAAATTGTGAATTTTTTAGTAATGAGCTTCATGTGGAACTTTTTGTTTGCATTTGTAGGCATTACTAACAAAATGTACGTACGCAATGAAACCACTTTTCCCACTTGTTTCACCAACCAAATTTACCTCATCTGGAGTTGAATAACAGGTTAGATCATCTCCCAATGAGATGAATGTTAAGAACAATTCGGAATGAGGGGAAAGTGTTTTTCTCAGATCAATTCTGACTCAGAAAGTAACCCAATCTTTTGAAAATGTATGTACACTATTATACAGTGTGAATATAAAAATTCCCTCTTAACTTTTGAACAGGACAAGAAGTCAACAATATGTATGTAAATAGATATTATTTTTAACTTACTTGTTACTTGATTCATGATAATAAATATAGAATTTTCATAATAAATATTATTTGAAATGAAGCTACATGGTAGCTTCAGAAGTTGTATACACACATACGAGAATGACAATTTTTTGGCAATAAACAATGTGAGAATACTCTTTTAAAAATCTTGTTGATCATGGTGATTTCTATTGTTTCAGTATTACAGGATGTATTCAGGGTTTTTTGTTAGTAGAAATGAATAAATTTTTCTAAGATTTTAACGATGTCTTGTCTTTTTGTTAATATTGTTTTGTTCAACTTTTATTTCAGCCATCTCCTGATGGCTCCAAGCTCACTTCAGTTTGTCCCAATAAATTTTCAAAATATTTATTACTTTCTTTCGATAATAATAATGATAATAATAATATATAAAATCAAATACAGTCACTTCAAAAAATCTTTGGTGGATACTCTCTTGGAAAATGCCATTTACAATGTGGGAAGAATTTAAAGAGACTTGAATGTATAAGCTGTCTTTTTCTTCTGTTTTCTTCTGTTGGTGTTAACTAGTCTGATGAATGTTGTACCAGTAATGTATATCGAGTGGTCCAACGAAAAGTATGCACCTTGCTTTTCTCCTTTTTTTGTAACTTAACGCAAAAATGCTCGGACAGGTCAATTTTGCTTTTGAGGGGGTCACATTTTAGATGTATTTTTCTACCTGTGCCTTCAACCCCCTAGCGAGGGTGAGTAACAACCCTAAAATTTTAAATGGAAAGTGGGGTCGAGTGATATATCATTTGAAAGGGCACAAAATTCTCTTTCCAACGATACCTGATTTGTTGTATTTACTTGAATAGTTATAAAAAAAGCAAGAACATTTACTCGATAGTTTTGGTGTTGATGAAAATGCGGAAAAAACGGCATTTTTATCACTACTACATTCCTCAATTTCTCTCGGGCGTTTTTTGGTTCAAATAACAACAGCAGATAAGTGTAAAAAAAGAATTTAGGCAAACGTTCATTGATTCAGTTCGGTTGCTTTTGAAATTATTTCAACTTTACTGTAAAAATGGTTTATTCCATTCCTGAACGAGTTGAAATTGTTAAANTGTTTGCAGAAAACTTGCTAATTTCCGAAAAAATAGAAACACTGACTTATTATCTTTAAAGGAACCATTTGTTTCATCAACTGTATTGATTTGATGGTAGATGTTTTACTGGAGTTTTATCCCAACACCAAATAAAGTGATCATCTTCATTGAGGTGTTAAAAATAACGATTTGGTGTTGGAATTAAACTCCTGTAATATTTTTACAGTGCCAAAGGTTCCAAACAGGTTCCAATAGTTTCTATAAATTGGATCTATATTGCAGACGCCTACGACCACAAAAGCTTCACTAAATTAGTAAATACTCATATGCTATTAATAATAACAAAGAAAGAAGAAGTGTTGAGCGTTAGGTAAACCAGGAGAGTTCATGAATTGGTCATGGAATAGATCATGTCTGATTTTTTACGTAGGACAAACTGGAAGACTATTCAAAGTGCACATAAATGAACATTGAAAAGATTCCAGAATGGAAAAATTGTTACTCGCTTCCTCTTACAGGGTCATGAATTCAATCACGAATTCGAAACCCTTCTTTAAAAAAAAACATGCTCAATACTTCATTTTTCAAAATTCCCAATATTTCATGAATAATCAAATTGATTTGAATAACACGTCTCTGTTGAATTCTTTCTCACCAGTTAATCATTCTAAGTCCTCTCCTGAAACAGCTACTAAGTAATGATTTACCATTCGTGCTTGACAAAAGAAAATTTTTTATATTGAAAATCATACGGTGAATGGTATTTCCATTTGAAAAAATATATATTTGAGATACAGAAACTCTTTTTTTCTTAACACTGGGATTTTGTCTTACGCATTCATGATGGCGTTTCAGATTATTCCTCCTGCACCGTCGCCCCCTCCACCACCCCCTCCGAAGAAAAAATATAAATTGAGCCACAGGAAGTCATCTGATGGGAACGGTAAATAGCACTATATGTATTATTATTCATAGGTATTTTTACGATAAAAACCGACATATAATTTCTTCAAAGTTGCTCAATATAATTTATTGGCTCTTTTGAAAAAGTTTTTCAGAATTTTTTTTTTGTTGGCAGATCGTGACGTGATTGTTTTGAAAAGTATCACGAACCGCAATGCGGAAAACACTCTTGAATTAGAGTGTTTTGTTGAGCAACTGGAGGAAGTGCAAAAAAATCGGATTCAGAAGATGAAAGACGAAGAGAAGGAGTTGCAAGCAAAACTGGATTCGTTGGTGAGTCAAGCCAACGCGAAAGTAATACACAAGGGAGATCTGGCTTCCATCATCGAAGTGACGGAGCAAGTACAAAGTGCAATCGCAGGTAATGCAAGTTTTTGAATGATTTGAAGATATCAGGTATACAAGGGTGGTTTCGGAAGTACCAGGCCCAACAAAGAAAACTAAAGTTTGGGGATAAAATGTAATCACTTTTCAATCTAATCTTGCATCAAAGGTACATCTTGATAGAATATTTGTCATTCAAAATTCTGCAGTAAGAAGCATAATCTCTGCCAATTATGATGAAAAGTGTTGACTATTATTTGTAAAACTTAAAATAATGACCCTGTAATCAGTTATTGTCTATGAAAATCTGCTTCTTGTTCAACAAAACTTGTTGGATAAAGTTGCTCACAAGGATATACGTCAACATGACACAAGAAATAAATTAAACCCTGTTCCTATAGCTAATAGGTTGAAAAGAACAGATAATATAGGAATTAAGCTATACAATGTCTTATCTGTCGAATTTCGTAACTTGCCATTTAGAAGATTCAAAAACTTATTGAAGAAAATATTAACCAAAACATCTTTTTATATGAAATTGAACAATTTTTCGAAGTTATTCAAGAAGAAAGACACTTTTGTGGTCACCTCCCGAACTTTTACTCAACTTTGAATACATTTAATATGTTAGCTATGTGATTTATAATTTGTAAAAGCTCATTGCTTTACATTTTAGTCATTTTTTATAAGATTGGAATTTTATCTTGTTAATTTGTATTTTTTTGTAAATCTAATTTATCTACAGTGGGACCATTTTTAATGGAAACACCCCCTTAAAATTTGAAGTTGTAAACCGATTTCAATATTTTTTTTTTAAATGTCAAGTACTAAAAGGTCTACCTTGGAACAAAAATTTGAAATGTTTATTAAAGTTTCAGGGCATACTACGATATTTTTTCTTAGTCGAAAATCGGGATTTTTTATTAGCGATTTTTTTGTTGAAAAAATCACCACACCACTGGATTCAGAGTGCCTCTAATAAGGTGTGACCAAAATTTCATGAAAAAATATTCATTATTAACAAAGTTATGACAACTCAATAATTCGAAAACTCACACAGCTAACAGTCACAATATATAATTTTTTTTATGATTTCAACAATTAAGTGCCGCCAGATGAAAAAAAAACAAATAGCGTAAATATTTTTAATGAAAATAACGGAATTACNAAAAAACCGATGCCATGACCTTGCCTGCAGTTGAAACGGTCTTCTCCTTTTTTGGAGCGTGAAGTGAGGGTTATGAAACGACGCAAGAAATCTGCTTTGCTGCTGTGAAACTTCGCTAAACACTCAATTGAAATATCTTTACGACAATGTTTTTGCTTGAGTGTGAGCAAACGCGGCACCCACCTTGCACACTAGTTTGAATAGTTTAAAATAGGTTAGGTTTAAAATAGGTTTTTCCGGTAACCAGCTATCGTACCCCTACGAACGACAACCCTCAGTAGTCGAGACTTGTGCGAGCTAAGGACTAACGAGGTCTTACCTTTTACCGTGTGATTCCTAACAGCTTTCTCATGTTTAAATTTCAAAATGCCCACTAAGTCTGCTAGCTCGCGCACTTTCACTCGACGATCATTCAGTACCGCTTTGTGGATTTTCTTCACCGTTTCCGAAGTCGTCACATCATTTGGTCGACCACTACGATGCTCGTTTTAGCAGCTCGTACGACCTCGTTTAAATTCTTCTACTCAATATTTCACTATTGTAAACGAAGGAGCAGACTCACCCAGAATAGAATCCAGTTCAGCTTTTATATTGGTTGGGCTGAAGCCTTTCAAATAAAAGTATTGTACTACATACCTAACGATGACCAATTTTGTCTATTTTCACAAATTCACCGAAAGCGTTCGCTATTGATGACTGCCAAACAAATACTGAACAACACAGCGTCTTCAAACTTGAAACATATGCTTTATAGATTGTGTACTTTCCAACACAGTGATTTTTTCAAACAACTACCGCCATCTCTAGGTCAGATTGGGTACTTCTGGGACCACCCTCTTATTTCTTCATGAGTTGCTTATTTCCAAAATTACTTGCATAACTCTTTTCTGACAGAGTTCAAAATATGCCTGAAAAAATTGCTGATTTTAATTTTTTGTTCTCTAGAGAATGAATTGATTTTCAACAATGCCTTTGAGATTCTCAAAAACGACGATTATTTTCTGTCGTTCAAAGAAAACATGTTTCCATTTCAATTTTTCCTTACTTTAATTATGAATTTTAGGTGCTAAAGCTCCCCCAACGAACTTGGTGCTAAACAACATCAGCAGCGGTCAACAGAATTATCAATTGGTTATGGATCCGAGACTGGGCCTGATAGTGGGGGCCCTGAATCCTCCGTCTCCTGCCCAACCTGCTTCGCAACCTAAGGTTTATCAAGGCAAAGTGCAGGTGAGAAACGAGTGTTTTCAATAGTTTGACAAGTATTTAAAACCTTTTTTTTTGTCTCTCTCTCTCTCAGGTCGCCCAGAACCTACAACAAACTCCCACCACATCCAGTCAGAATTTGAGCGGAAGAGGCGTGAGGACTCGAAGAGGAGCTGCAGCTAAGCTTACGCCTCCTCCGTCTCCCGTTCCCATGCAGGCACCGCAAACTAGATCGCTTGCTACCAACCAGCAGACGAGGACGAACGCTAATCAAACGAGATCCGTAGCGGTTTCTAATCAGGTGAGTTTGCTTGTAGATTTCCCAACTTGACAGTTGGAAAAAAATTGTTTAATGTCTAAATAGGAACAAATCCCAATAAAAAGACATCAATTTTAACAGCCTTAACTTTATTGTCAGATAGATCACGATAAGTTGACTTGTGGTTCTTATCCAAAACCTTATATTGGCCAAACCAGAAGAACTTTTTCCCAAAGAATAAAATAACACAAGAGTCGTTTTTTAAATGTTAAAACCAATTCCACATTTGCAAATCATTTTTTGACGGAGAGGCGAGAGTTCAACCACGAATATGAATTATTATATTTGTGAAAGAAAGGTTTGAAAGTCAATCTTTTGGAATTAATAGATTAAGGGATACAGAAAATTCACTAAATGACTAAATAGAATTTCATTCGTCTCCTCTACAGAATCCGTTATCTAAAGTGGAAATTACTATTTGAACTCTGTATTGGGAATCACACGTTAAAAGGTAGGACCGCGTTATTCTTTAGCTCGCACAAGTTTATCAACTTCTGAGAGTTGTCGTTCGTAGGAGAGCAAAAGCTAGTTAATGGAAAAAACCTATAAGTCTGACTCTGATGATAATTTTCCATGAAAAAAATGTTGAGAAATGCATATAACCGAATCTATTATAATGGGGAATGTTCCTCATGACGAAAATCAAGTAGTTTTCATAAAAGAGGTCTAAAACAACGCATTTTAAACTTATCATTTCAACCTTTTTCTTTAAAAAATTATTTGAATAATTGAAAAAGAGGAATGAAATAATGCACTCAACATTTAACGGGATTCGTTTCTATTTCACCATTTGGCAACATCGGTTATAGCTAATAAAGGATAATGAGACAAAGATGACATATTTCAGAGGCGTGCTGTTCTGTTTACTTATGTTCCGAGTTCCGAGACATTCTGTGACATATGACATTTTGTGCACCTAACCTATCTTCCTCCATATAAATAAATAACAAAACAACTGTTGTTTATGTGGCTAATTTATATTTTGCCTTGATTGTTGATTTATATAGATAATTTTCCTTTTTTTTTTTTAAGTAGAATATCTAGGAACGTTTAAATTATTTCAACTTAATATAGGCGCTTAAAAATTAAAACCCAACATTTGAAACATCAATTTGAATACTTTTCGAAGTGAATTTGAAAAAGTCATGATTTATTTTGTTCAAACTTGCATTTTTTGTTGTAATAACCCAAATTGAGGAACATTCCCCATTGTAGCTACTGAAATTGATGGCAAAAGTGGATGTTCATATGGAAAAAATAGTTGATGATAGAATGCAAGGAATGAAACGTCGCTTTGAAAATTGGTTCATACCAGACCTTAACATGTGTTTGATTTTCATATTTTTTGAAACGAAGGTGGTAGAACCAACAAATAAGAACTTGCAATTTTAATTTTTTTGGGGAATGTGTCAAAAACGTACATTGATAGTCTCAATCTAAAAAAAGATTTTCATTGTTTCCCTAAATAGGCAACTTCTTCTAATTTCACCAACTTTCTGAATATTACCTTTTCGGGTATAGCAATAGTGGTATTTGCTATAAAAATGGTTTACATAACTGTTGGCTCAAATTCAAGAACTGTCAAGGTAATAACCAGGATTTAATTTTTTTTTTTTTTAGCAAGCGACACCCAACGCGTTTTCTAACGTTCGTCCTTCGGAAAGCAACGTTCAAGGGGGCCTGAGTGCCGGGGGTGCTGCGGCAGGTAAAAAGATAATCGTGGATCTTACATCGGAAGAGAACAAAGGGGGAGGAATGCTGCCCGATAGTAAAGAAATATCTTTCAATAAGGTAAGTTGGTTTATTTATCCGACAGGAGAATCAATTGATTTTTTTTCAGCTCCAAGGTAAGACGTACCCATCTCTTGTTGTGGTCGCTAGACCGCACCTCAGGGTGCAAGACCTCTCCGTGGATAGACCCAAGCTGGATGCGAAGGTCAAGTCGGTGCTAATGCACGCTCCCACTAAGTTCACGGAATGGTGAGTTTGTGATTATTTTCTATTTGTTTCATATAAAAAGTGTTACAAACTGAATTGAATATAAATTCCACTAGTTCGGACTTCTAGAAAATAATGATAGTTTACTAAAATATCAGTCAGGTTTCAGAAAACATCATTCATGTGAGTCTGCATTACAAGTCACAATATCAAAATTGAAAGAATCAATAGATAAGGGACATTATATCATAGCCGTATTTTTAGATCTTAAAAGAGCTTTTGAGACAATTGATCGCCACATATTACTAAATAAACTGCAAAGTATTGGTATCAGGAAAACTGTTTTGTTATGGCTGGCTTATTATTCATCACAACGCAAACAGGTAACCAAAATAAAGGATTCAGTGTCATCATCTCGCAATGTCATTTTCGGGGTACCTCAGGGGAGTGTTTTGGGGCCTATATTATTTTTAATCTACCTGAATGATATAGATACCATCCATGGTTGTGATTTCATGAACCTTTTTGCAGACGACACTTTGTTATCAATTTTAGGGGATAATTTAGAAACAGTAGCTGATCAAATGAATAATGAACTAAGAAATGTTTTCAAGTACATGAATAGCAATAAATTAAAACTCAACACCTCCAAAACAAAATATATGTTCTTATCAACTGGTTATAAGCTATCACTCATCAACAATCTCAACATAAGATTACAAATTGCAGGTGATGTAATAGAGTTCGTAAGTGAATTAAAATAATTGGGTTTCATGGTGGATAATCTTTTATCTCTTCATGCTCATTTTGATTATATATATAGAAAAATTACTAAAAAAATATATTTTTTCTCAAGAATTTCATCTCAGCTTTCGATGTACTCAAAAATTACACTATATATTGTGTATAATCCGACCCCATTTTGATTATTGTGCTAGTCTGTTATACTCATTTGACCAAAATAAGGTATCGGCTTTACAAAAGTTACAGAATCGTGAAACGAGGATTATTTTACAAGTGAATAGATATTCTAGTATATCAAACATGTTAAGTACATTGCAGTGGCTGTCTGTTTCCCAGAGACTGTACGAGTTAGCAATGATATTAATTTTCAAACTAACACATAACTTGCTTCTAACTTATTTTGAAGAATTCTGTATATATTAATCTCAAATCCATAACCACTAAACAAGAGCGAGTATCTCCCAAAAATTCCATCTTCCTCGAACTAATTTGACTAGTACGATGAAGTCTTTATTTTATAAAGGTTTCAATAAGTATAACAAACTTCCACTTTCGTTGAAAGATTCAATAAATGTTTTCCAATCCAAAGAAAAACTCATGAACTATATAAAATATCATACTTGATTTTCTTTTTTCTGTTTGGTAATATATTTATTATGTATATCCTCATGTTGAAACCATTCTGGAATCATTGAAAAATGTTTTTTTTCCTTCTATCATATCATCATTTTTGTTATTTATGTCATTTATTTATATATTTTTGAAATAATGTTTGAGATAGATTTAGGTAGATAGATATAGTTAGATTTATTGAAGTTTTCGAATTGAACATATGAAAACTTAAGTCAGTAAGGTATAAATATATAACTAAAATACAACAAAAGATAACAAAAAATTATCACAGGTTTATAAACTCGTGGGAGTACATTTTAGTATAACTCAATATTGAAAAATTGGTGAAGAAAGCCTTTTATTCAATTCAGGAATTCTTGGATAATAACTTCGATGACCTAATATGATTGTTTAAATTGTATTCAACTCAATGGAGAGAAAAAAATGTTATTTTACTCATTTTATTTTTTAAACTGTAATTTTATAATTGTATGTATTCTTGAATTGTATTCTTGACTTGTAAAAGCAAGATGTGTATTATTACCAATAAAATTGATTGATTCATTGAAATCACACAAATGCAAACATAGATAAATTATTTACAGTGAACTCATGGCTGTAAAATGAATGGGAAGCATAACATACCTTCGTGGTTTTATATATGTATTAATGAAAGTCAAAATTAATATAAATTGAATGTTTAACAAATCGAAACAAAGAAATTGCCGGGATATTTTTTCGATTAAATGTTCATTTATTCTATGGCTGTTCTCCGTCATTTAGATTTTCAGCTCTCCGAAATTGGATATATGATGTGTGTTCTCTGAAACTAGTTTCAATAGCTCGCTTACTCTGCCCAATATATTTTTTGTGACGGTCCTCGCAGTTCATAATCATATATTCCCGATTTAAACTTTCAAATAGCTCATCTTTATGGTTGCCTAAAATTTGTTTAAGAGGGCAAGCAACGTGCAGTATTTAATCTACCCCAGAGATTCCAGTCTCGCCTTTCACTGCCGTCCATATCATTTGAAATTGCTAGAAAGTTTTGAATCATCAACGACTTCAAAAAGTTGATTCCTTCTAGGTTGATTCAACAAGGGTTAGTGAGAGCTGAACAAAAATGTACGGTGCATACCGCGACGCCCCTTAAACTGGGCATGTACAGCGACGTTTCCAAATTTCCCTATTCTGGAGGATATGTATGGATATCCGAGTGCTGTCCCCAAAGGTTCGTTTCTGTGTTTAGCGGATCCCTCTTCGAAGGTTCTCCACACCCGCCTATGGTGATTCTGAAGTTGCTTTACCATTGGGCGTGTCAAACCAATATCCAGAACGTAACTCAGTGGGTAAGTCATTTTCTTATAATAAATACTATCGTGACTAGAAAAATGTCAACTGCCATGTAACTAATCGTTGTGGAATAAAAATCAGATATTATTCACATGAGTTCTACTTTAAATGAATGGTAACAAATTGCACTTACATGGAACACTGTCATCCTCACTGGTATACAACGATGTTTCGCCTTAAGACACTTGCCCCAAGGCTCTTCAGTACCAAAAAATTAATCACTCCTAAAAATATAAACCCATCAATTCAGTATGATAACATTTTGTCCCAGATTTCTTGACAATTTTTTCTTCTAAGAGAAGCTTTGATATCTTAATGGATAAATTGGGAGTGCAAAACTCATACAAAAAACAAAGAGAAATAAATTAATCAATAACTTGCTTTATTTGTCCAATTCACAAATACGAATATGGAATAATTTTTGTCCATAAGTGCCATGGCACTTGTTTTGAAAGAACATCAGGTTAATATAAAATACTATACATATACACACATGCCATTCATACACATACCACACACAAATTTATAATATACAAGTGATAATACAAATGAAATAAAATGGGGGCTTGTTGAAGTTTTGAACTATCAACATAAGGAATTTTTTTTTTCATTTCTCAGAAAAATGGCTGATTTTGCTACGTGGCTCATTAAAAATGAATAATTTGATTTAGATAAAGACAAAACCTCCAAATACTTGTATACTTCTTGTTTACTTTTATACTTCCAAATACTTAAGAGCATACAGCATATATTATTTCTACGTCTATTTAACTTTTATATACCTCAGGTACATACTCAATGGGGATTGTTCCTCAATTGCATTCCTTGCATTCCACCATCAACTATTTTTTCCATATGAACATCTACTTTTGCCATCAATTTCAGTAGCAGAGGAATGTTCCTCAATTTGGGTTATTACAGCAAATGCAAGTTTGAACAAAATAAAGTTGAGTTTGATTCATGACTTTTTCAAATTCACTTTGAAAAGTATTCAAATTGATGTTTCAAATGTTGAGTTTTAATTTTTAAATGGATTCGTTTCTAATTCACATATTGGCAACAGCGCCTATAGATATTCTACTTTTGAAAAGGAAAATTATCTTTATAAATCAACAATTAAGGCAAAATATAAATTGTTCAGTACGTACTCCACAAGCCACATATTTATTTATATAGAGGAAGATAGGTTAGGTGCACAAAATGTCATATGTCACAGAATGACTCGGAACATAAGTAAACAGAACAGCACGCCTCTGAAATATGTCATCTTTGTTTGTCTCATACAGGTAACAGATTCATTGTCCTTTATTAGCTATTATCGATGTTGCCAAATGGTGAAATAGAAACGAATCCCTTTAAATGTTGAATGCATTATTTCATTCCTCTTTTTTAAGTATTCAAATAATTTTTTAAAGAAAAAGGTTGTGATGATAAGTTTAAAATGCATTGTTTTAGAGCTCTTTTATGAAAACTACTTGATTTTCGTCAGGAGGAACATTCCCCTAGAGCATTATTCATTACTCCCACATCCATAATAATATGTATAAGATCCGTTTCTATAAAAAACAAGTTCAGTAATGGTGACCTATTTAAATCCAGTTTGTCATTCAGTAATATATTCGAATTTTGAAGTTTATTAATTTCCAATTCATCCAAATGATTTAGCTTTAAACCTTTATTTTCGATGTGCAAAATTTCGAAATCTTCATTAAAGATATAATTTTCTTGTAAAAGATGATTTGAATATGTTGAACTTGTTTTTTATGTGCCTACATAGCTCTATGATGTTCCTGTATGCGAATTCTGAATGTTCTGCCAGTTTGGCCAATGTATACCTTAGGGCAAGTTCCACTATTTAATTCATATACTCCTGATTTCTCGAATTTGGATGTTTTGTCTTTAATATTTTTCACTAACTTTCCCAACGTAGTACCTGTTTTATATGCAATTTTAATATCTTGTTTATTCAAAAATGAAGCCACTTTTTCTATTGTTTGTTGAAAATATGTTGAAAATAACTTTTTACTCAATCAATGACATTTTGAATGTTGATCTGGGGTGTTACTGAAAGAAATTTGATTCTTTATTTAGATAATTTAACCATAATTTGGTTATAGAGTCCATACTTTTGTCTTGTTTAATTTATTTTAATTGTATTGTTCAATTTTATTTGTATTTTTTTGTAATTTTTATGTTACTGTAATGTATTTTACTATTTCGTCCGTATTTAAAATCTTTATGATAAGAAAGACAAATAACTATCTATCTCAGTGTCACTATTTTTCGGGTTTATACAGTGTGTATCAACGAAAACTTAACAGAGCCGTTTTTTAATATAAAAAGTAAGATTTTTAAAAAAAGCTCGGACACGTAGATTTCTAAGTAAAGGGGGACACCTTTCAGACTAATCAGATTTTTTGTAGTACGCACCCCCTCGGAGGGGTGCGTCCGACGACCCTTATTTAGATAGGGAAAGTAGGTCTAGTAACACCTTGTTTTAAGGTCTTTTGAATACCTTTACAACTCTGTTAAAAGAAAAATTTTGTAACGATTAGTTTTCCAGATAATTTGAAGATTTAAAGGTATTTTTATTGAGCTCAACTCTTTTTAAAATAAATCAAATTGGTTTTAAGGTACAATTTACGTTCAGAATTTTCATAAAAAAAATAAATTTTTGCTTTTTATGACAACCTGCTAATACGTGTCGAATACCTTTACAACATAGTTGTAAAGGTATTCGAAAGACCTTTAAAACAAGGTGCCAATCGACCTACTTTCCCTAGCAAAATAAGGGTCGTCGGACGCACCCCTCCGAGGGGGTGCGTACTACAAAAAATCCGATTAGTCTGAAAGGTGTCCCCCTTTAATTAGAAATCGACGTGTCCGAGCTTTTTTTTAAAATCTTACATTGTATATTCAAAAACGGCTCTGTTAAGTTTTCGTTGTTACACCCTGTATATTACTGAAGAAATTGGCCAGCGAAACGTCAGGAAGAAATTACAAAAAACTACAGCCTTAGAACCCAGAAAATAGTGACACTGGAAACCTCGGCCGCAAATGCCTTGACCATTTTGTCAACTATCTACCTATCAAGTGTTATCATAGTGGCTCGATATGATTGAATATGAGAGATTATACAGTTTGATTATTAATTGACGAAACGAAATTTGTCGCTGTACTTTCAGCCATCATTGTGATGATGATGATGAAAAGTATTACTTTGATTTCAAGAAGTTTAAGAAAGGGTAAAGATATTTTTTCACTATAACTAACAAATCACTAAAGAATCTGATGTATGGAATTGAGGAATATGTCTTGATCACACAGGTGAAGGTGGACAACCTGTACGTGAAGGGAATGTTCACGTGGTTGCGTTCAATATGCACGGTTGCCATCCAGACGCACATCCGGCAGCTGGGCGGCCCCGGCGTCAAGGTAGAAGTGGGCGTCATCTCCTTGGGCACGACCTCGCAGGACGGCAACCAGCGCCAGGTCAAGGTAGAGGTTTTGGGCGTGCTGGAGACCACGTCGAAACTCATCCGTCTGCGCGCCGTCGAGCCCCAAGCCGAAGGCGACAGGAACTACAAGAAGCGCTTCTCGAAGATTCTCGAGCCGATTTTCCAGTGGGTCCATCCGCAGAGTATGCTCGTGGCCGATTTGACGGTCGACAAGCAGACGCTGATTGGCATGGGGTTCACGAACGTCGTGCAGTCCTCCGCCAATGAGTTCGGCAGCAACAAGCAGATAATGGAGTACTTGAGGAGGATAGTGCCGAGGATGTTCCAGAATACGTTGTCGTTGCTGTCCAGGCAGATCATCCAGCAGGTGAGTGAGACAGTTTTTTGCAGAGAAGAGAAATGAAACTTTCTATGCTTCTTACCACTTTTATTTGTAACTGACGTTACTGCAGTTTCATCCTATAAGGACATTTTCAAACTTATACAATATACCTGCACCCTGAGTCCAACTATAGACTTCATTGCTTCTTTACTGGATAATAATAATAATAATAATAATATTTATTAGTCTCAAGAAACACACAGTTATTAGACACGTCAAGACAATTTCTAAAATAGGTTTGAGAGGGTAAGATTTGTCAATATAGTTTTAAAAAAATGCTTGTAGATAAATTAGATTTACAGAAAAAAAATACAAGTTAACAAGATAAAATTCCAATCTTATAAGAAGAAGATTTTATCTTCCTCTTGAAGATGATCACTTGGTGATCGAAACACGTGTCGAGGTGTAAAAATAACGATTTGGTGTTGGGAAAAAACTCCAGTAATATTCATTACTACACCAAAGGTTCCAAACAGTATATCACAAGTACTTATAAGACTTGACTAAAATGTAAAGCCATGAGCTTTTACAAATTATAAACACATAGCTAACGTATTATATATATTCAAAGTTGAGTTAAAGTTCGGGGGGTGACCACAAAAGTGTCTTTCTTCTTGGATAACTTCGAAAAATTGATCAATTTCATATAAAGAATGTTGGTTAATATTTTCTTCAATAAGTTGTTAAATCTTCTAAATGGCAAGTTACGAAATTCGGCAGATAAGACATTGTATAGCTTAATTCCTATATTATCTGTTCTTTTCAACCTATTAGCTGTAGGAACAAGGTTTGATTTATTTCTTGTATCATGTTGATGTATATCCTTGTGAGCAACTTCATTCATCAAGTTTTGTTGAACAAGAAGCAGCTTTTCATAGACAATAACTGAATATAGGGTCATTATTTTAAGTTTTACAAATATTGGTCGACACTTTTCATCATAATTGGCAGAGATTATGCTTCTTACTGCAGATTTTTGAATGACAAATATTCTATTAAGATGTACCTTTGATGCATTATTCCAATTGATTATACCATACCTAAGGACTGAATGAAAAAGAGAATGATATGTTGCAAGTGCCACACTTTGATTTACTATTTTTTTTATTCTTCTGATAGCAAAAACCGTCTTACTAAGATTACTACACATGTTATTTATGTGATCTATCCATTTCAGGTTGGAATCTATTTGTATTCCCAAAAATTTGGTAGAATTTTTGTTATCTCGATTTGAGCAAATTGTTTCAAAAGTTAGAGTTTCTGTTCATTGAGAATCAAGTCATTTAGTGTGAACCATGAGCGAGCTTTCTCTAATATGTCAGTATGGATCATATGAGGATCATCTATTTTAAATATTTTTTTGCCCAAGGTTGTATCATCTGCATACAATATAGTTTCTATGCCTGACGAGTTCATCACGTGAGGTCGTTGATATAGATTAGAAACAGAAGTGGCCCCAATATTGACCCTTGTGGCACTCCTCTTAATATTTTTCTTTTTTCACTTTTGATATTTCCTAGATCAACAATTTGATCTCTTTCGTTAAGGTATGACTTCATCATGTCCAGGCAGACACCTCTCACTCCGTAGAAATCTAATTTGGCCAATAAAATCGAGTGATTTACCGAGTCGAATGCTGAAGTAAGATCTGTAAAAACGCTCACATATTCTTCTTGGTTATCAAAGGCGTCTTTTATACTATTTGTGAGAAAGTTTATTGCTTCAGACGTCGATTTTCCTTTCCGAAATTTTTTGGTTCAGATGTAACACCTTTTTTATGAATTGGCAGGATTCTACCAATTTTTAATTGCCTTCACTTAGACAGGTATTGATAATATCTGTTAAGGGTTGAGTTATACATTCAACGGCACTTTTTATGACTAAAACATTCACACCGTTTATATCTTCCGTTTTTTTATTTTTTTATTTGGTTATGATTATTCTCACCTCATCTGTCGTTACAGGCCTAAAGAACATCCACTTATTTGTGTTCATTTTTTATCCATAAAAGCAATAGGGTCAACATCAGATTTGGGGTAGTGCAGTAGAGTTGTGTTTATGTTATGATAAATACTACACTATTGCTGTATTTGTTGATCTACGAAAAGCATTTGATGTTGTTGATTTCTCTATATTACTTGAAAAAATGGGAATAAGAGGAAATGCTCTCTCTTTACTGAAAACATACCTTCTAGATCGCAAACAATTCACACTGGTTGATGGCATTTCAAGCCAAACTGAAACTACCAAAGCAGGTGTGCCCCAAGGCTCAGTCCTTGGACCCCTACTCTATACATTACATGTTCTGTCGTTGAAAACTGCTAACATTATAGGTAGATGTTTTGCTATATATTTTACCTTATTTAAGCTAAATAGATTTTTAATATTTACTTTGGAATTTATAACCTTTGTTTTCTCTTAGTCTCACAAAGATTCATGAACTACTCACTTACCGATGTATACTAGGTAATTATTTTTATATTTCTATATATATCGTGCTATCCCACAGGTTAAGTTGTAAAACAGCCTTGGCTGAACGTCGCCCTTTCATTGATTCTTGTATTCACTTCTTCTTTATAAACAATGTATGTCAATGAATAAAGCCCATTTATTATTATTATTATAACTGTATAAGTTTGAAAATGTCTTTGTGGGACGAAACTGCAATAACGTTAGTTACAATTAAAAGTGGTAAAAACAGAAAGTTTAATTTCTCTTTTCTTCATTATGGTTTCCTACCACGCAGTAACGGCTAAATCCAACAATTTATATATTTTTTGCTGTATTTTCCTCTGTTTATTGGTAAGAGGGTAGTAAAAATTATAGAAAAAAATATCTGCTGCCATCAAGGCCTATATTTTACAAGTAATGAAAATTATCTCCATCATCATGAAAAATGGTAATTAAAAACATGGAAGTTTTAATTCTCACTTTCAAACTCCTTCCAGCTAAGAATTAAGGAGATCTTATCTATCAAGGGACATTCCTCATTATCAAACTTCCAGTGTTACTTAAATAGGAATTTATTTTTAATAGCTCCTCTGTCAAAATAATATTGGGAAAGGCATTTTGACAGATTCAGAAAGACTCCTGGCTACTAACTGCCAGGAAAATGTATGCGACATGAAAAATCCTATAAAGAAATAGATAGGAGACAATTTTATAGATAGGAGACAATTTTAATGAGTCATTATTAGGTAACTATGCCTTCAAATTAATTTTCAACGTATTATTAAATGTTTAAATCTATTTTAGCTAGTCTTTATACTTATCAATTTACTTCCAGTAATTTTCAATTCTAATGGGGAAACAATCCCCTGGGTCCTCTCTTAACTACATTTTTTTTACTTGACGGCCCCATAAAAGTATAGGGGCGCCTCCAAAAATTGCACTCTTTCAAAATCTTTTGAATGGGTGCGGGCAATTTAAAGGGTTTCAGCAAAGATGGCCTCGCTATACGCTCATTGACTCATCAAGCTCCCCTTGACAAAGAAGGCAGAATGAAATTCATGCTGCTTATATCTAGTAGTTCACCTCTAAGTTAGTGAATTGTGTGGATGTGGCGTCATCTAGTGGAGGGAGGACAAAGATCTAGCGCGTTTTGAATGAAGGATTCCTTTCTTTTACATTAATTTGCAGTCCGCTACGGGGGGCGACAAAATGTAGGGCCAGTACAAATGGCGCCTTTCAAAAGTACGGAAATGACGGTTATGTGTTTAGATTATTATGAACAACCATGTACACAAATCTAAAGAAATTAACTTAAAACGTTCAAGCCAGAAAAAAAAATTACACAAATATTGTGCATTTAATTTTGATGGCTCAAGTGAAGCAAAATTATGAATACATTCTAAATTCCATGTGTTTGAAAAGCCCATAGGGGTTGGAAATTTGAACTGGGATTTTTGATAAGGAGCATTATATCATAGCCGTATTTTTAGATCTTAAAAGAGCTTTTGAGACAATTGATCGCCACATATTACTAAATAAACTGCAAAGTATTGGCATCAGGGAAACTGTTTTGTTATGGCTGGTAAACAAAATAAAGGATTCAGTGTCATCATCTCGCGATGTCATTTTCAGGGTACCTCAGGGGAGTGTTTTGGGACCTATATTATTTTTAATCTACCTGATTGATACAGATACCATCCATGGTTGTGATTTCATGAACCTTTTTGCAGACGACACTTTGTTATCAATTTCAGGAGATAATATAGAAACAGTAGCTGATCAAATTAATAATGAACTAAGAAATGTTTTCAAGTACATGAATAGCAATAAATTAAAACTCAACATCTCCAAAACAAAATATATGATCTTATCAACTGGTTATAAGCTATCACTCATCAACAATCTCAACATAAGATTACAAATTGCAGGTGATGTAATAGAGTTCATTGATTGATTGAAGTATCTGTGATTTATAAATCATTCCCTCACTTTTAATGGAAACTCTCCGAGTTCGACCATTTAGGTATGAACTAGCCCATTTCAAAGCGTTTCCTCTAATTCCATACTTCTCTAATTTATACATCAGAAGAGATCTGTCCAAACAGTCATGTGCTTTAGAAAGATCTAAAAACATTCCTAAAGATAAATATTTTTTTTCAATGAAATTCGATACATGTTGAGTGAATTGAATAGTATAATAAGGTACAGTACAATAATAAATAAGACGGTTGAATAATAATATAGTAACAATAATAATAGTAATAGTAATATCCTTCCTATAAATCTACATTGACGTCAATGGGTTAAGATTTGCAATAGGTGATATTTATTACAACTACAGTTCCCATATCACAATTTTTATAATTGGTCAACATTACATGTTGAATAATTTAAGAAGGACTATTAAAAGAATGTTTAAAAGAATTTTGCCCAGTACTCAGTTATGGTGCAATCGCATAGAGACCCATCACCAACTGTTGAAACTATAATAAACTTTGGTTTCTAGATAATTAATGACTGAGAGTCTGAATTTGTTTGGTTTTCTGTATTTCTAATTTCTCTTGGGAGAGATTGATAAGCTTTTATGGCTTTGTAATGCGGTCCTTTTTCAAAAAATGATGAATTATGTCTCGGTATGCTTAGTTCATTCTTGTGTCTGGTATTTATAGTCATTTGGTTTGAGTAAAGGTCGCAGTTTCTCATGAAGATACTATGTTTTTTGACAAACATGACTAATTGCAGAAAATAGATTGAAGGAACTGTTAATATGTCTAGCATCTTGAAGTGTGGTCTACATGTTGATCTATGAGGTAGTTTTAACATACAGCGAATTATCCTTTTTTGAGATTTGAAGATTTTATATGACTGTATGGATGATCCCCAGAAAATAATTCCGTATTGAATAATAGATTGAATATGCGCATAATAGTAAGGAATAGATTTGTTGAGCAATTTGGCATATATCGATTCTAGCCTATTTTGGGATTTGTTATAAGCCCTGTTTTTTCCTGTATTTAATTTTAGGTCATTTTCCTTGCACCAATCAAATCATTTTTTGAGCTGCTTGGGATAATTGTCTGAAGAGGGTAGACGGGGCTTCGGCTGACACTATAACCGATGTATCATCTGCAAACTGGTATACTAGTCCAGGGTCGAGTGAATTTGAGAGATCATTTGCATATACTAGGAAAAGAATTGGGCCCAGGATAGACCCCTGTGGTACTCCTTGTGTTATGGGGTTTTTAGTGGAAAGAGCCGACGAATTATTTTGAGAAACGTCCACTATTTGTGATCTCCCGGATAAGTAAGAAGTGATGAGGTCATGTGCTTTGCCTCTAATACCATATCCTTCTAGTTTATTTAGTGGAATCCTGTGATTCACCATAATTTATAGATTTTGTAAATACATTTTAATTTGTTTTTTAACCTGACGCTGACGTTTCCTGTTCTGTGTTGATCGTTTTGCGATTATTATTAATTAAATTTTTATTAAATTGATTATAGTATGCATCTCATTTTTACGTATGGGGGAGGTTTAAATGACCGCCAGATTTGATTGAAGAAAACGTTTTCCGTTGTTCCAAAATGTTCAAAATCAAAATGAATTTTTAAATAGGTACGTTAAATGTTTTTATTGTAGTTTTTGGACGAGCTGGTGTGGCGTGAATGGTTCGGCACTTCTTCTCTGCAAGCTTTCGACAATTTAGTCATCCACATGTCCGAACAAACTCGGCACGACAGCAATCAATCGCTCATAGTCCGTCTGAACAAAGTAGCTCAAAACCCGTTTAAAAACTGGAGCATACCACTGACCAATTCCACCAAAGTGGTCGAGAACGTCTCGAATGCCAACAAGAAACAGAGGACGAGGTGAGTGAGTGTGAAATGTGAAAAGTGTTGTTCTACTGGAATTTTTATGATCTCTGTAGGAAACCTGACCCACCAAAAGTGACGCAAAACGTAGTGACGGACATCAACCGTCCCCCCAAAAGCATCTCGCCAGACGTTCCGGAGCAGATGGTTCCTCTGGAGAACTACTACTACGGCACGATAGATACGTATTCGAAAACGCCTTCGATAGTCCTGAACATGAAGTGTCCCTTCTGCAAAGCGACGTTCGACAACAATATCCAACTGATGAATCATTTGTTCAAGCACGCGCACAATGTGTCGCAGGACGCGCAGCTCTGCAGGTACTGCCTGACAAGTGTTACGACAGCCAACGATCTTCTCAAACATATATGTAAGTACTGTTTTTTTTTTTTTTTTTTTGTAGTTGGTGTAGTTGGTGCAAGTGTTTCAATAAATCATATCATAGGTGACAGGTCTAAAGCAGTATGGAATCTAGTAAAGAACTATACTGCTGGTGGAAAGAAGCAGCTTGATTCTGTAATAGATAATGTTTTTCCGAATGAAAATGACAAAACAAAAGCACTTTGCAAAATCTACAATTTTTTCATACATAATTGTACAAATATTACAAATCAAAATCGTGGAAGTGGTTTTCTAACCTCTCCCATTTTACAAACAAAGCATATTTTTCAAACCTGTTGATTCGAAAGAAATATATGACGTTATCAAAAACCTTAACAACACTGAATCAGTAGACGAAGATGGTATCCCTGTCAAATTACTGAAACGTATAGCGCATGAGATGATTCGTGAGCCTTTATCACATATAATTAATCTATGTTTTTCAACGGGTATTTTTCCAGATAATTTAAAAATAGCATATGTGAGAGCTACATATAAAAAAGGCGAAAAAAGTGAGCTCAACAACTACAGACCTATTGCACTTCTTCCCAATATCAGTAAAGTTTTTGAAAAATGTATATACATGAAATTAATAACCTTTCTGGAAGGTAATAATCTTCTGTCTGATACCCAGAATGGTTTCAGNAATTTTGATTATTGTTCTAGCGACTTCCCATCCAGCAGAAACAAAATTCGACAACGGTTTCGTTTGCCTGATTTGCGAAACGCAGTACATGAACCCGTTCGTGCTCGGTAAGCACATGTCCAAAGAGCACTGTCCCTCCGAACTGCCGTATCAATGCGGAACGTGCGGATATAAATGCTCCAACCACAAACAGGCCATCGATCACTTCTACAGGACCCACGATAACGGACCGACCATCCAGTGTCCATTCTGCCTCAAATCGACCACCGTCTTCTCGTCCAGCAGGAATATCGTGCAGAATATGAACTATTTCATCCAGCATTTACAGGTGAGTTGGTATAAAATTTCGCTACAAATAATCTTGATGTTGAGAACGAGAGTAGTATATCGACAAAAATTGAAAAATTAATGTGATTTGTTTGATTGTTGATCCCCAAAGACATGCATGATAATTGAGGGCATGAAAGAGAATAACAAATTATATGAAAACAGTTATTTAATACTGGATAGTCAGATGAAATCCAGAAGTGTTTCATATCAAGTGAGGGCGATGGTATCTTTCCGTAAGAAGACGCCATCTATGGGATTGATAGAGAACTATAGCCTCAGATATAAATGATGAACGAGGCTTCCCAAGGCGGTTATTTGCAAAGCAAAGCTTCGACGTCGACCGCCGACGAGATTCGTCTTCTGCCTTTCACTGCAGCTCTCACTGAAGGGCAAGTAGCTGAAAATCCGAGACCAAGCTCATATTCGTCAAATCATTTTCTTCGATATACAGGGGTGTAACTGAATATGTGTAAAACATTCAAGGAAGTGATTCCTCTTCGAAAAAAAGATAGGATCTTTCATATAAAGAAACTTCATTGGAGCATCCCTTGTTAAGATACAGCCCCTTAAAGGGGAAGGGGTACATAAAATTTGTATAACAATTTTTTTCACAAGCACTGAAAAAGTTACAATATTGAAATTAACCTGACGTTTTGTACTATCAAAAAGACACTTGACCAGTAATTTATTTAATCGAGGAGGTAGAAAATGAGGCCTAATTAAATCATCCCCAATAACTCCGAGCCACACGTTAAGAGAAAACTGTTCTTGATGGTTAGTTTCGACAATAGCGTGAGGGTTTTCATCAGCCCATATGTGGTATTTATGAAAATTGATAATCTTGTCCCGAGAAAAACTACATTCGTCTGTGAATTCAATCGTCTTCAGAAAGTCAATTTCTTCTAATCATTTCCAGCATCCAATTGCAAAATTAAAGGCAGTTCGGAAAGTCTCGCGGTAACAGTGCCTGTACTCGTTGCAGATGGTAAGGGTATAAGAGTTGTTCCTTTAAAATTCGAAATACCGTCATATGATTAACATTTAGTTGGAAAGCAATCTTTCTAGTACTGGTAGTAGGTTGTTCTTCAACCAAATCAAGTACTGCTTCCTCAAACTATGGTGTTCGTACTTCTCGATGGCAACCACAATCCTGCCCGTCTTGGATATACCTACATAGGGATGGACTGACGCCTATCAGAAAACAACTATTCCCCTGGCTAATACCACGAAGGGCGTTGGATTATATCCGACAGGTGCCAGTGCAGGAATCTTCACAGAAAATTTCCTGCATATGCAAATGGCAATACAACTGAAAGAGTCGACATTCAATTTTGGAACGGGCACACTTGCAGACCGGTTTCGGGCTCCTTAGCCACTCTTTCAGAGTATTTCATTCCAAGTCTCAAAATATATCGGATATAATATATCGCCCTTCGTGGTATTAGCCAGTGTAGTAGTTGTTTTCTGTTAGGCGTCAGTCCATTCAACCTACTGTGTAGGTAAGACTAATAAGAAAGTTTTTCTTCCTTATTCAGAGGAATCGGGCACATTTCGGATATGCAGTTGGTTGGTACCTCGCCCACTAGATGGAGTGACATTTTGTTGTTCGCTCCAACTTAGGAAGAGGAATGAAATACTCTGAAAGCTTGTACCACTTGTTAACCGTTAGTTAGGGAAGCCACAGATTATGCTGTAGGCGACCCCTTCCGATATAGAAGGCCCCGATACTCTGTCGAATGAGGCCTTCATGTCCCCCGTTAATGGATGAACAACTTTCTCATCCATCCCACCCCAGCCAGGTAGGGGTATCCCGTGAAGGGCGGCACTGATGTCTGAGGACTTCATGCCGCCATACCATCAGTCATGAACCCATTGGTCCTTCTCGAGACCAATAATCAGCCAAAAGGGTAGGGGAGCTGGACTCCAAGCCTGAATAACACGAAGATGACCTTCCACCACTTGTTAACATTTTTCTGACCCAAAGTACAATCACCATATGCCACTGTCAATATTTCAATTGTTTTTGGGCACTTATTTCCATTTTTTATAGAAAATTCGGCTTATTTTTTTAACAAGCCCTGGTATATCCCAGTGAAAAATTATGAATGAGGGTTTCAAAGTTGATTATGTGGTGGTGCCTCAAACAGAAATAAACTTGTGAATAAATTAAACGGAAGTAAAACAATATTGAATATTTCAAAGATGAAAAATATCTTGAATGAAGAAATTCTTCATTATGATTTCCTACCACGTAGTTAACGGTTGTCTATTTTAAAAAACCATTATTATTATTAGAAACATCAAAGGAAACAGTTTGCGAGACGTTGCGGCAAATGCAACCTATGGTTCGTGCAGAAGGACGTCCTCAAGGATCACCAGAATCGGATGCACGTCTCGCAGAGAGGCAAGACAGGCCTGATTCCTTGGAATGCGCCGCGGAACGGAGTCATGGTACCAAAATCGCGGATGGACAAGTACCCAGGAGATGGAGAGGTTATCAACTTTGGGACTCTGCACTTCAATTTATCCAAGAATTTGATGTGCAAGGAGTGCAATACTTCCATGGATACAGCCAAACATTTTCCGTAAGTGAATTTGGGATTATCTGTAGATGGTTCTAACCAGTTTTTGAAAGCTTCCATTTTAGGCATACAACTTTCGTTTTCCACTTGAAATCTCTGGTGTATACTTTTTTTTTTTTAATTCATCATTTTCTAGAATTGAACAGTTTTCGTTAAAAATCTATCTTTTTATTCATATTCCTTTTTCTACTTTTTACCTCATTAAANTGCAGCAAGAGTCACAACCCTGTCGCCGAAGAAAAATTACCCTTCGAGATGTTCTGTATTTGTGGCTACAGCGATACAGATGGTACGTACTCTGATTGTACCTGTATTGTTACAATTCAGTTCTTCATTATTTTTTTCAGGAAATCAACTGGCGAGGCATTTGGCGATCTGCGAACGAAAGTCGGCGTATCCATCTAGGAACGAAGCCAAATCGGCCACTGTCACTCACAGCATGTTGGACGTGCTGGGTTTGATGAGGAAGCCAGAAGAAGCAGCTAAGGTGGTGAGCAACACCAAAAGAAAATCGGAAGCGATGAATGAGGAAGAGCCCCCTGAAAGTTTGAGCAGCGTCAAGAAAAGGAAAGTAGAAAACTTGGAGAGCAAACCAATTGAGGAAGAAGAAGTCACTGAAGCTCCCAAAATGAAGAGAATAAAGATTGGTGATAAGGTGGCAAAGAAGGATGTCGAGAAGGAAAAAACCACAGAAGATGATGAGAAACATGTCATTGTCGATGAGGAGGAACCAACAAACAAAGCGGGGACTAGCCCTGAAACTGTTGATGACAGAGCATCAACTACTGAAGGGCCCAAAGCAGTAGAAGAAATTATTTCAGAAGAATCAAAAACTGTTGATGAAAAAGAGACTGAAAGTTTTGAGGAAGCACCTGAAATTGTTGAAGAAAAGCTTGAAGCTGTCGAAGAAGTGTCTGAAGCTGTTGAAGTAACGTCTGATGGTGTTGAAGAAGCTCCTGAAGCTGTTGATGGAGCATCTGAAGATGGTAGGACCCCATCCGAGGTTGTTGAGGCAGAACCTAAAGCTGTTGAGAAAGAATCTGAAACTATGAAGGAATTATGTGAATCTGTTGAAGAAACGACTGAAACTCCTGAGAAAGCTCCTGAAGCTGTGGTAGAGGAAGAGTCTAGAACTATCGAGGAAGTGTCTGAAACTGTTCAAGAAGTCCCTGAAACTGTTGAGAGAGTTCCTGAAACTGTTGAGGAAGTTCCTGAAACCATTGAGGAAGTGCCTGAAACTGTTGAGGAAGTGCCCAAAACTGTTGAAGAAGAGAAACCAGTGGTTCTAGAAAACATAAAAGTTGCTGAAGAAGAGACACTTGAAACTACCGAAGACAGAGTGGAAGCTGTGGAGGAAGAAGATATAGTTACTGTTGAGGAAGACATTAAAATGGAGGAATCTGAAGTAGAGGAAGCGGCAAAAACTGCCGAAGAAGAGGCATCTGTACCAGTTGATGCAGCCAAAGCAGTTGAAAATGAACTCGAGGGTGTGATGAAATCTGAAAATGAGAAAGAAACACAAATTGAAAAAGCGGAACCTGAAGATAAGGATGATGAAGGGCCTGTTATGGAAAGTTTTCCAGAGGAACAATCAGAAGACTCGAAAGAAAATGATGAGGTTATGAAGGTGGTGGAAGACGAAAGAACTGATATTTCTCGAAGAAGCCCGGAATTGGCCGAGGTGCAGAATCACGTATCGTCTTCCGAACCAGAACTCACTACAGACGATATCCAGAACCTTCTTTCAGATGTTGTCGGTGAGAAATTGAATGCCGAAGGGTGCGAAAAACCAACAGTCGCAGAGTCTGTAATTGTCGGCGGACTGAGCAACGGGGAGAGTCTTCAGGCGGAAGAGTCTATGGAAGTTGTTGAGAGCGAGGAAGTTTCCCCCATGGAAACGGACTAAGTCGGTGATGCGATCGATTGTGTTTTGTATGTAAGTAAAAAGAGTGTTTGTATCAAACATAGCGCGCGTATGGGGCGGTTTCAACGACCGCCGTTCGATATTGTAAATAGTAAATATTTAAGAGTTTTGTAAAAAGTTTGTGTTTATTGAATCCTAACCCCATATCCGCAAGACTACACGGCGCGTGCGGAAAGAGTAATATGCGCGTCTTTTTTGTTTATATTTTTATATAGATAAATATTTCTTTTTAGTATTCCATTCAAAGGGATCA